GCTCAAACTCTAAATGAAACCATTAAGCCTTGAGTCCCAGTCAAGAGTTTGGCCTACACTTCATATATACATAGTTAATTTCCCCATTTTGAAAATGAAGAGTTACTCTCTACAAATACAAAAGAATCCACTCCTTCCATAGGTCATGCATCTCCACTGAGGTAAATGATGAAGGTTTTAAAAATAGGGATAGTTCATCTAGTTACTGAAGGGATGGAATAAAAAGGGGCTCACTGCCTTTCTGTAGAAGGCTATTGACTAGTGCAGCACATTTACTGATTGCTTCAACTAGGAATGTATGTGGTATCTTCTTCCCCATTATCCTGACTTCAATCCTGGAATTTGCCTATCTATAAATGTATATTGATCCACCCATCTGGGACTCCTCTGGCACTCCCAATGCTCCAGGCACCTGTGTGCATGTTGTAATACAGAAGTGTGCTGAAAGTGAGCCCCTATCATTGTTAGTTAATTCACTTCTTCTGTATAAAACATAAACACTGACTGATGGGGTTTGGTAGGGTTCACCTAGATGCGCCGGGTTCTGAGTGCTGTGTTTTCCCATTTCCTTTTGGGCTCAGTGAAGATATGTCATGGCATCTTTGAGGCCATCCAAAGCTGCACTCAGTGGAACAAGATCATTAGTTCATCTGCTCTAGGAGTCCTCCAGGACTTCAGGCTGGATTTTTTTTTTCCAAGATGGCATGGATTAAACCTTCTGCATGGAAGGAACAGGCTCCATCACTGAACTGCAATGTGGCATCTCCTGTCCCAAATGCCCACCCACACACAAATGAGACATAGAGTAACTGAGATGAAAGATGATGTTATATTTCTTCACTTTTTGTTTTCAATATAATTGGAGACCCATTTTATATGCTACTGTCTTTGGCAATGTCACTCCTTTATTTCTACTTCCTTAGACAAAATAATGGTGGTAGGAAGGAAACCAGAGAGAATTGCTGGTCATCTTCCATAAATGTTCCTTATTAGACTTCCTCAGGAACATGGTGGACTGAAGATGTCTCCGCAAAAAGCAGAGCCAACAATTGCGGCTAATAACAAGGAGCTGATCAGTAGATTGGTTCCTTCAACCCTCTCTGGAGAATGAGAGGATGAGAGGTTGACCACGTTGCACTTCATACAGTTGCTCCTCACAAGGAGACTGCAAGGCAGAGGTCTCCAGAGGGTGGGAGAACTGGAAGATGAGGAAATTTGCCATTTTGTTCCAGCCACAGTTGGAGCTTTTAAAGGACACTAAGTTTGCACTTCCTTTGCTAACCACTTTCAGAAATTGCCTATTAACTGCTTCAAAGAAGTTAGACACCTTCAAAATGACAAGGCTGGAAACACTGAGTGGGTGACTTCAATCCTTAATATAAGAAAATGAAGCTGTATTTTTATAAGCTTTAAGAATTTAAAATACACAGCAAAAAGCAAGTCAAGGTTTTGTCTATAGAAAGTTTTAAATGGATTAAGGGCTCAGAAAACAGAATATTTGATTTTGAATATTAAGACTTCGAAATTAATTTTAAAGAATAAATGCATTTTTGTGGAAAATAAAAATTATTTTTCATATTGGAGACATAAGCAACTTATAATGGCGTTCAGAGATATTTTTGAGGACTTTGAATCAACAATGTCAGCTGTGTTGTGTTTTCTTATGAACAGTCTGTTCCCAGAAGAAGCTGTTACAGAAAAAGATTTGGAACAAAACTTATCTGATACAACTGTGGAGAACAATATGAACAAGAATTTGTCACTGGATATGCAAAAAAAAAAAAAAAAAATTGGACGAGGCTTTAAAAATTAAGAAGGAAATTGAAATACCAATTCCAGAGAGTAATTGGAATAATTTCTTCTTGCTGGACTTACAAAAGAGGCTTGTTAAAGTTTTGAAGAAATTCGAGACCAGGTTCAATAATAATTTGAATGGATTAAAGAGCAAGATTGTTTTATGCATAAGGAAGGAACATAAAGTTGGCTTATCTGATCTAAAATGGGACATGTTATTTTGGGTGGTTCTTTGTGGACTTCCTGACATCTGGACTGGAAAAGACATTGTGTATTGGATTTGCTTACAGTTAAGAGCTGAGTTATGGAATGATAAGTTTTATATTTGTTAACTAACATTATTTTAGGGCTCTGTTTGAACTTTTTGCTGACACCTAGATTGGAAAAGATGTTCATTATTGGACTTGCCTATAGTTAAGAATTGAGTTATGGGTTTTATATTTGTTAATTAAGAGGAGGTGAAGAGATAGTGAAACTGTTCATACTTGTGATGAGGGTGGGAAGCTGCTTTTTTTCTCTCTCTCTTTTTCTGTTTTTTTCCCCTTTCTTGCAGCTTTTATTCTTTCTATTTTTCTTTTTAGTTGTATTATCTTTTACTATAGTAGTTAAAGCTCTTAATAAAAATATATTTTTTTAAATGTTCCCTATTATAACACAGCCAGCCAGCAAGAATAAAGACTATCCCTCATTCCCATGGCAGGACACCTTTGGTTGGCAGAAAGGAACTTGTCATAGCTACAGAATGTATGTATATATGTATTTATTCATCTTTTAATTTATATAGCTGCCCATTTCAGATCAGTGACTTTAAATGGATCTTAAACTCCTAGGCAGGGGATTTGAAAATTCACTGTACCAAAACAGTAGGATTTACTTCAGAGAGATATATCTTTAAGATAGGAAATTCAGTGTGAAATATAGAATGTTTTTTCTCTAAGAAGCTAAACATCTTAAATAAAATTCATTCCTCCTGGAAAGGTACCTAGACTCTTTTAGGAATCCCTCCTTCCCCCACCCCAACAAAGTATTTTCCTCATGCTATTACTGAGTATAATACTAACGCTCCAGAACAAGTCCCAAATGAAACAACAGGTCCTCATTTTCCAAAAGGCATGATAAAGAATCCCCAATGACTTCTGCTAAACATATGCCAATATTTTATTCAGATTGTCCCTTTGCTCTTTATTTTTATATACTGTATTAGGTCCAATCAGCTGCAGGAGGGCAGTTCAGCTTTTTGGTTCCGTAGTGTGGCCTTGTGGGGCTCTTCGGGGGGGGGGTGAAGATGGCCCAAAATCGCTTCAGATCGTTCCTGTCTATTCCAGTCAAGCATCTCACGCCATTGCTTTGTCCCTGACCCTCATTGCTTCTGTACAGGGTTTCAGCTCTGCCATGCAGGATCCCCTGGTGTACTTCCTTTTCTTCTCCTGCCGTGCCCACACAGACTAGGATATTTTCTACTACTCAGGTCTTTTGGCATACTTTTAATATACTGTATTACCCACCTTAAGTTATAACTATAGTAATTCCCAAAGACTAAAACATGGAATTTAAATAACTTAACCACAAAAGTGTAGCACCTTAAAATCAGCACAATAACCACAAAGGGAAAAAAGCCCAGGGAACTTGAGTTGAGACTTACTTTTGAGTAAAGATGCTTAGGCTTGCATTGCACAGTTATAAAGATTGTTTATCCATGCTGTTGCATGGATAGTATAGCCTTGCCAACCAATCATTTGAATATTGTTTCCTCAAAAAGATGTATTAGTATTTAATGTTGCAAAACATTATGGAAACAAACCAAATTTAATCTCTTTCCTATTAAATAGAGCCAATACAGTAGCTGCATTTTATACTATTGTTCTGAGGTTTATTAGCACAACAGTTGAGACACAGCAGTTTATGTTGGGCATGGACCAGAGAATCCATAATGAAAGAAGCCACCAATCTAAAGCCTGGATGTCTTTGCACCAGATGGCAGAGTTGGCAGCTAGAAGGAAACTAGCTAGCTGCCCTACTGCATGGAATGGATGAAGCGGTTGCCATCAGTAAAGATACACACTGCCATCTGAAGAGCCCCTTATAGTTCTTTTCAAGTAGCTGGCTGTGACTAGAGCTGCATCAGGACATCTACACAGATAACAGATAACAGATGATAAAAGAATAGAAGAACAAAAGCTTCACAACAAAATTTACATAGAACAGGACTGAAGGGAGCTGAAGGGATGAAACTAGGATCTATTTCTTCATGTTTCTTTGCAGAAAGACCTGCAAAGTGTCAACAGGAGTGGTACAAGCTCACAAGTGTGACTTTCTCAATTACAGCTCTCCAAAACTGGTCATTAATATTAGCAGATTGTCCTCTCTGTCCTTTCCTCAACTGAGATGGGAAGGAGAAAGCTATAGCTGGCTTCTTGACTACAAGGAGAAGGATAGCACATTCATTCTACCACTGGATCTCCTGATAGAAGGAGGAAGAAGGAATTCCTGCTTCTCCCATTCTCAGATAGGCATGGCCGAATGCCACACTTCAGAAGGGATTTCTTTTTCTCCAAGATCTTAAAGTATGGGCTATAAGGTTAATTGTCCATGGCAGGTGAATGGCTATTCTCCAGCTTTATCTCTTCCTTCCCACCTTTATTTCCTCTTCCATGATAACTTATTGTTGTCATTTTACTTTTCTAGATGCAAATCTATCTTACATCTGGGGGTCAGATCTCTCCAAGTCATTCTTTTATTCATCTCAGGTGGTCTCTCTTGCTATGATTCAGGGAAGGTTTCAAGGTCACTTCTACTCTACTACTGAGTAATATACTGTAGTAGTAGGGAAAAAAAGCTCCGTTTAGCCTTCTTCCTTCAACCTCCTTGTATTTTGCTCATATAATCAGAGCTGCCCTTTCTTATATTTGATTACTTTATTTCTGGAGTTAATGTTTGTATTGCACACAGGGAAAATATGTACTTTCAATGTAAGGCCTTATAATGTGTAAGGCCTTATAATGTATAAAGGCCTTATAATGTGTAAAGCCATGCGTGTACTGACAATAAATGTGTATGCTTCCTAGAGTGGTGTCTGCCTCAGATCACACTGTTATGCACAACAGCATCATCTGTTTTCCCATATGATAGCTGGAAAGAAGAAATTAAGATGTACTGTATGCTTTTTTTTTCCTTTTCCCAGCAAGCAGATGAATGAAATGCCTTACCTTATCTTAGCAGTATCTCCAAAGATTCCCCAGGAGAAAAGAGTTCATTTGTGGAACTTTTGCAAGAGATGGGAGTCAGGGTGTCTCTAGAAGAAATAGTAGAAGGCAACTCATGACTACCCCAGAAAGGATTTGCCACAAAGCCTGCTGGTTGGTTCATTGCACCAGCCAGAAGGGATACCCCTTCTTGAACTGGGTCATGCAAATGACTTAGCAGCCTGTGTTAGATTTAGACTGCAGCATGATCAGTCTGGATTCAGCCAACTTTTGAATAATCTCTAGAAGGTATACTGTCTCTCAGCTCATATGAAAGAAGCATGCACTGAACTACATGTGGAGACCATGTGGAGGAAGGTACTGAAATTACCTTCAGTTTAGAGACTAATAACTTAGACATATCATCACCATTCTATAGAAAAAGCCACATACTGCTGAGACCAAAATATTCTGCTAGGTTTGCAAAGCCATTACCATTGTCAAAGAATTAATCTTTTAACATCAACTAAACAAAAGTTACAAAGTGAGAAGAATTGTCTGGGTTAGATATGGTGGAGGAGTCTACATTTTGTGAATTCAGAAGCAAATTGGCCTGATGAAAAATAATTATTTTTCACAGTTTGTATTTCTCCAACTTTTGCATTCAGTTTTTGGCCCAAGCTCAGCTAGGTGACACCAGCTTTCTGACCAAGGCTGATCTTGGAAAGCTAAGCAGGATTGGACCCAACTAGTATTTGGATGGGGACCTAGTAGGAAATACCAAGATTGTGGGCTAGACTGGAAAGTTGAAAAACAGCCTGGAAGAAGACAATGACAAACTGGTTTATATTGCTGCTGAGAAAATTACATGAATCTGTTTGTGAAGTCACCAGAAGTTGAGTCTGATTTGAAGGAAACTTTGTCTTTGTTTCCGGGCTCAAAAATTCTTTTCTCATCTGTTTTGCTCCAGCTATGCTCACCCTGCAGCTTCTAGAATTCCCAGGCTACGTGACCAAATTTGGCTGGCTAAAAGACCATCTCTCAGACATGTCGGGGGTGGGGGGCGCACATGTTGGGAGAAGGCTGAAGTATCATCAAGCATTTTAAAACAATCATTATAACATCATTATTCTTGACAGGTTTTCATTTAGGTAAAATTGGTACAGAAAAGTTATTTATATAAAATGCAACTAGCAATTCATATTTTTGCCAAATTAATGTGTGAAAATGTATTAATGCAATTAAAAACAGCAGTAGCCAAATAGTGACTAAAACTAAAGATATAAGTAAAGAATTCAAACATTTTTTTCAACAATTATATTCCTCAAATAATCCATCACTAACAAAAATTAATCAATATTTAAATAGATTAACATTCTCAGAATTAGCTCCAGAGGATATATAATTTATTGAATCTCCTTTTTCTATTTCAGAAATCTCTGAAGTCTTTAACACTACTCAGAACAGAAAATCTCCTGGCTCTGATGGACTGTCAGGAATTTTATAAAGAATTTAAAGAAATATTGATACCTGAATTTCTATTTTTATGCAATGCTTTGCACTAAGGGGACCCCTCACCAGAGTCTTGGAAACAGTCTAAGATAATTTTGATCCTTAAATCAGGTAAAAATTCTTAGCATTTTATAGGTCCATTTCATTTCTCAATATAGACTATAAACTATGCACTATATTGTTAGCTAAACATTTAAAAATTATTAGAAGTAAAATTGTTCATATAGATCAATCTGGTTTTGTTCCAAATCGAAATATATCTGCCTCTATCAGGAAATTATTAAATATTATACAAATTAGCAAAATTAATAAATCTTTACTAGCCATGTGTTTTTTTAGATATATTTAAAGCCTTTGATTCTCTGGAACTACAATTTTAAAACAAATGTTACATAAATTTAAATTCGGGGTTGGTTTTTGTAAGATGATTGAACATATTTATGGATCAACTAAAACTCAGATAAGACTTAGCAGTTATGATTCAGACTCTATTACGATCTTATTACCAAGCAGGGTGGCCTTTATCATTTTTATTACTCAACTTAGCTATAGAAGCGCTGGCAATAGCACTTAGATCCAACAATCAGATTTACAAGATAAAATTGAGTGACAAGACTTATATTTTAAATCTATTGACAGATGATATGGTACTGAATCTCTCAAATGCTTTCCATTCAGCTAACTATATTAAGAAAGAGTTAGAGGAATTTGTAAAGGTGTCAGGGCTAGAAGTTAATTTTCACAAATCACATCTGATGTTTTTTCATACAAAAATTCAAAAGGAAATTTCTACAGATTTAGGAATTCCAATACATTAGTACATAAATCTTAAAATATTATTACTAAAATATTAATAATTTTTCCTAATAATTATATACCTACATAAAAATGTGCATTTAAATGTGTTTATATGTGGATTTCTATGCAGACTTTTTAAAAAATCAGATAAAACAGCATCATAGGGCTAGATGAGGAATGGAGAGAAGAGGAAAAGGGTTTCATTTAGATCTGCTGAAACCTCTCCTATGGGAGGCTGAGAATGAATGTTGTATTGACTGATGAATCACTATTGTCATTGCAATTTCAGCAGAAAACCAAAAACAACTAAAAGTGCAACAGTAGGAAGTCTGTTTGGTTAGTATTAATACCAACAAGTTTCATAAGTTCATGTGAGTCATCTGATTAATTAGCTTGTATAGTTTTTAACTTGTGCTCTTCAAAACCATGAAATGAAGAATGATTCTTGAAAATACTCATATGTAGTTTGACTGAACCGTGATTGTGATCATTTCTAGCACGGCCACAGAAATTCTTTGAATGTGTTGAGAGCAGAAGTCAGCTGAATGCAATGCAAATACAGCATTGATCATTCCTTTTGTCTTTGTTAAAGCCTTTAAAATTTCCAGACTGCTTTAGAATAAGAGAGGTTTCTTCCACAAGAGACATGGGTAATCCATTGATTTGATCCAACTGCAGTGCTTAATAGTATGAAATACAAAAGCACCCTCTACTGCCATGATAGCATCTTTTGATTTGCTGGGTGAGGAAAAGAATGTGCCAATGTTTCCGTTGAGGGTCCAGTGAAGGCTTCCAGACCAACTAATATCAGTTCTAAACATTGAGTTATTTGAAGAAACAAAGCCAATAAAAGTACTGCTGAGAAGTGTTATTAGAAATATAGACAGGTGCATATATGGCTTTGTTCCCAAATTAATGCAGAACTATTGTCACATAGTCATGCTTTTTTAAAAAAATATATTTTCTTTTTAATTTGTTTGCTAATGTCATATCAAATAATATTGGTGAATATCCAGTCCTGGGGAGAGAATTGGGGCTTGAATTTTCTAGATGAGGTTTGTCATCAATAGATATTACATTAATCACTAAGAAGAAATGTGAGAAAAAATAGTTGGTAAATTTTTCACCTGTTTTCATTTCTACTGTTAGTCAGTTTGGCAATATCATTCCACACAGGTGGTCACCCAGTCAGCCAAGTTGCTTAACTACTGAATCCAGAGGAATAGTTTGTCAGTCACAGCAGTAAATAATGTGCTGATAAAATATTTTTATCACACCATTCCTCCAAAGAACACAGGGTAGAATATATAGTTCCCCTTTAACCCTAAACCCCCAACTCTATAAAGAAGTAACATGAATATAATGCATAACAAAATAAAGCAATACAGAACTATGTGGTGATGGCCTTTCCTGGAAAGGTTTTCTCAGAAAACTGGTGCCACCACTTTGAAGACCCTTCTTTGTGTCTTTGTGCCATATGTTTATCTACAGAACTGCAGATATGTATATCTGTTTCTTTAAGAAACAAATTGACTTTTTTTTTTCTTTCAGAGCACAGAAGCTGAAACATGTTTCCCTGATCACTGCAGACATTTTTCACAGCCTGATTGCTTTCTGTTCAGCAGCTGAAATCCATCATATGCCTTCAGCTTGTTCTCTATCTGGAACAGAAATCTTCTATGCAGCCCCTGTTGCTTCGTTTGTTGCTGAGCCCCCCAAGGATCAGCCCCAAAGTCTTTTCAAAGCCAAGGTTCAGCTCTGCTTGATATGAAATAATTATAATAAAACTATAGTCTCTTCAAGCATGTGCAGAATGCTTTTTCCATCACCACAAAATAACTAAAGTCAGTCCCACATATTTTAGATGAAGTAGACATGTTTCTAAAATAGAAATGTGATTTTCCAGGAAATATGAGTTGTGGTTTCTTCTTCTTCCTTCCCCCACCATCTGGCAAAAATAATCTACAAAATATCCTGGCTGGAGTTGTAATGTTTTCTATTGGGTGTGAGAGAGAGAGACTTATACCCAATCCAGCACTAAGGAACAACAGAAGAGTTCTGTCTTAATATAGGATTTGAATTCAGTGTTCTTAGTGCTTCTACTGTCAGTAGGTGGAATTGCACTTGCTTTGCATATATTAGATTACAATAGGAGTCTGCAAACCATAGAATCATGATACCACACATAGTCATGAGCTATTTAGTGGCAGTGGGGGTGGGGTTGCAATATTGTTTTCAAATTTCAGGGTCAGGCAGAGCAGACAGCAAAACCTGGAGCAAGTTTTTAGAGATGTCTAAGCCCAAGGTTCTAGTCATCTATCAAAATGTCACCCCTCCCAGATAAACCAGACAGGAATCATGAGCAGATGAGCTAATTCTACTTTATTGTTAGGCTCCAGTAACAAATTCTTGCAAGTCTGAAAGTACGAATCTTCTGCCGTCCCTTTTTACCACCTGATCAGTTAGGGCAGATCCTTTCTAAGTTTCTTTCTCCTCCTGTTAGTCAGTTGCGGGCTCCTCCCTCTTTTATCTGATCATTCCCTAGGCAGCCTCTCTTCCCTGTCTTCCAAGGTCATTCTTACATTCTATTACACAAAGCCATGTTCCAGTCACAGCAATTTTATTTATCCATTCATTCCATTTTAATCACGAAGAGGCTCACAGATATTCATTTCTCTTTTTAGAGGGCAACCATATTGCAAAATTTGACCTTTGATTCAACAAATGAATTGGGGAAAGGGACGTCCATTAAAGCAGAACCTCCATTAATATAAATTGGAGATCATGCATGCATGTTTTGCA